TCCATGACAAAGTCACTGGAAAATTTAATTTCTTTTTTTATTTTGGAAATAGAAATACCCAATTATATATATATATCTTTACAATATGAAAGATTAGTCACCTCCCCATATGGAAATATGTATCCATAAAGTGTCTTTATTAGAATTTGCATGTTGGCAATCACAGCTTTAGGCTTTACAGGTCTCGCAAAACACCAGCAGGGGTTTTGAATGTCACCATGAATGCAAACAATGTATATTCACTAATGCTTGGCATATTGGAGTAGAAGTCAAATTGTAAACTTTTTTTAAATTAAGTGTATGAATTACACTTCATACTTCTGCGACTATCACTGCTAGTTTTCACACTTATAAGCCAGACAATATTCTAAAGGTTCAAACAGAATTAATTATTGTGTTATCTTTCAGGTGAAAAACCTTCTGGATTTCGAAGCGTGAGAGCCCCAGCTAGTAAAGTGGCCGCCTCTGTGGGTAGTGGACAGAAACTGCCAATCTGTGATCAGTGTGGTTCAGGCATTGTGTAAGTAACTTATCTTAAGAAATAGTCTTCGAGATGGGCTAAGTTGGTAATACCCCACCCCACCAATAAGTCAGGGGTGGAAAAGGCACCCATCCGCTCAAGCACAACTCCCCTTAATGATTGCATAGCATTGACGTTGCAGTTCTATAACAGCTGGGCATATACTCTGGCAATATCAGTCTTAAATACAATACCAAAACTCAATCTTTGTTACAAGATGGGTAATTAGCTCACAAACAGCTAGTTACATTGAACGACAAAATCCCTTGTCTTCAAGGCTTTACAACAGACCTTTAGGATGCATTGGGTGATGCCAGCCACCAAAAGTACATTTTTGCAAGTGGTGTGACAAATTGGGGCTCTCTGGTAGCCCGGACCACTGCCTTGATAATGTAGAAATTTTTAAACTAAACATGGTCTATCAAACTGTTTAGGTTAAGATAAGTCTCTCCCTCCTGTTCCCAAACTCTTGTAACAAAACACACCAAACGAAAGTGCCCAGAAACTCTTTGCACCATAAGTACTACACTGGTGCTTACAGTAACCCTTTAAGATCGAAGTGGGTAGAAATGTTTAAGCATTTACATGGGCAGGAGTGTTTCCTTTTAGTTTATATGTAGTAAAAAGGCAGAGATGTTCAATAACTTCTATTTCAGCTTAGAGGGTTACTCTATTTATTGGGTAAAATGCCCTAATGCCCCTCCTCGATTTGCAGTAGAAGCTGAATTCTAGGAAAGGGGCGCCCATGCAGTCCAGTTATATTTAAGATTATTTGCACGTCTAGTTTAACAAAGTGTAACCATTTCCAACAGGGGTGCGTTTGTGAAGATTCGTGATAAGCCTCGTCATCCCGAATGCTATGTTTGTACAGACTGCGGCACAAATCTCAAGCAGAAGGGCCACTTCTTTGTTAATGAAAAGATGTACTGTGAAAAGCATGCCAGAGAACATATGGCTCCACCGGAGGGATACGATGTGGTTACAGTGTTTCCAAAATAAACCATAACCTTATTTTGTGCTGTACCAAAGTGACATTAGTGTCCCAATTTTAATGCAAACAAGCCTTTTCTCTAAAACCTGAATGGTTCCTTATATTTGCATCAAATGCTTTCTAGAAAACTACCTGTGGAACTTTTTTACACAATCATTTGAATCAAACATCCATGATGTTTTCATCTTTGCTTTTGTTGATATTCAATACAGAAAACCAAACAAAACTGTTGTCTTTTTATTTAAACAAACATTCCTTGTATTAACTTTAACCTTACTGATGGAGCATGACCAGTCTCTTGATAGATCTTGCAGTGACTTGGACTAAATTGCATGTATGTAAAGGGAACAGTAGGGAGTTTATGGGATACACTCAGCACTACATCATGTATGGGTGCATAAACATTAAGTTGGGAAGCCACTGTATCATGCAATGTACATGCAGTTTAAGGCTTTAGACTGTACTGTGACAGTTTTTGCAGTTATTACACACAGAACAAGCCACCTCTAGATGGAGCAGTTTATCATGCACTGTGTCATGTTTAGAATCATTGTACAGAACAAAGTTGACAATATTTAACTTAAATATCTGTACACTAAACATTATGTATTTTAATGCAGGCACATGACTTGTCTGGTTAACATGAGGCCTCTGTGCACTGCAGCAGATGGTAAAAGCATACCTGCATTGAACAGTTTCTTCACTGGGGAAGAGTGCAGGAATGGATGGATGGATGTTAAATCAAAAATGTTTTACGTACCGTAAATTTATTTTTCCTGAAGATTAGAGGTAGTGCTTTATAACAGGGATTTCTAATCTGGAGGGAAAAACAGGCAGGCAATTCCCCATTTAAAAAAAAATAAAAAAAATAATAATACCTCCCCCAATTACATGTTGTACTATAAATTGTCACTTACCCAGCTTTCGTATTTTCTGGGGCTGTTTGGGGTAATTGCAAAATTGTTTATTAGAACATTGGGGAAGGGGGGGTGGGAAGTGAGCACATCCTCTCATCTTCAGGAAAAAAATTACAGAAAGTTAAACATGTTTGCTTTTCCATTCAGATTAGAAGCCGTGCTTTACAACCGGGATAATCAAAGCAATCCCCTAAGGGCGGGACTCATTTCACAACTGCTTGTAACAGCTTGCGCCCAAAAGTTGCGTCTTCCGAGGCCAGTATGTCTAATTTGAATGTTTAGCAAACGTAGCCTTAATCATCTGGCCAGAGAGCCTTTTGAAGTCAAACATTTTCTAGGACCATGAAACAAGACAAAAAGTCTTATTTCCTAAAGGACTTTGTACTTTCTAGGTACTGCAGCAAAGATCAACGTCCAGACAGTGGAATTTAACTTCTAATGCATTAGAAGGCTGTTGGCAAAAAGTAGGTAAAATTTGATTGATAGTAAAGACCATACCTTGGTAATAAAAAGGATCCAGCTTTAACACCACTTTGTCATGATGGAAAACTAAACAAGGAAAAATTGCATTAAGAGCTTTAAAATTCTTCCAATCTTTTTAACCAAGATAATAGAAACCAAAAACAAAGTCTTGAATGATAAAACGTCCAGAGAAGATTTTTCTAGAGGCTCAAACAGAGGTTCACAGAGAGCTGTTAAGGTTTCCCTGATGGTAGGAACCAAACGAGACAGCACCTTGAAAAATCTGGTGATTAGAATATTCAAAGCCAAACATCTGAACAAAAAGAAATGGATAGCCTAAACTTGGACCTTGAGTGTGGCTGGTTTCAATCCATTTGCAAAGGCCATCTGAAGGAAACTAAGGATGTTTGAAATGGAAGCGGTTATTGGATTTTCTTTGACCTTAATACACCAAGAACAAAACGTCTTCCATATTCTAGAATACATTTTTGTAAGTTTTTTTTTTTAAAGCAGCCATCAAAATCTTATCAGGAGACAAACCCTTTCTCTTTAATAGCTGGTATTCAGAAACCATACCGTCAATTTGAATTTTTTCAGAGTTGGAAGTGGTATCATGGAGTGTTTCAGTATGTCTGACAGGGGAAGTTTCCAAAAGGTTGAACTGGGTATATTTAGGAAAACTGAGAATCAACTTCTTCTTGGCCACCAAGGGATGATTATGATCATTCTTACCCTTTCTATCATGATAGAATCCTGGGAATAAGAGAAATAGGAGGAAGCACATAGGCTCGGAAATTGACAGAAGGTGAAATTCTGACCACAGCATGATTCTGGAACACAGATCTTCCAAACCAGTTGACCTTGTTCGTTTACATATACTACTGTTGGAGAATTGTCTGACCTGATCTGGACATGCTGATTCTGGATCTGGTTCTGAAAGGCAACGAAAGCCAGACAGACAGCCTTCAGTTCTTTGTAGTTCAATGAACTTATTAAAGCTTTTACTTGTCAAATTCCTTGTTTCTTTTCTCCCAAATGAGCCCCCCAGCTGAGACCTGAGGCGTCTGTTAAAATTTAACAACTTCATTTGGTAGGAAAGGCCTGATTGCAGGAAACGGGACAAGGTCCAGAAAAAACTCTTCAACACCTGACTGAGTTTCATAGGCATGTCCAAGCTGTAAGTTTGCTTGGTCTAGAGGCTTTAAATGTTTATTTGAAGAGGTCTTATTCTGGCCTTTGCTCGATAGAGGCCGTGAAAAAACCCAGCAAACTCATTGCTTCTCTGATAGAGCACAGACTTCTTTCTCAGAAGTTCTGAATAGCCAGAGCAATCTTGTTTTTTTTCTTATGGAGGGAAGATCTTCATAGTGACTGTCTATAGACACAGGAACTGAATTCTTTGGACTGGGACTAATTACGACTTTAAAAAAAAAAAAAAAAAATCATGATTGGTTGATAAATTTTGTAGTGTGTCTATCTAGACCTCAGTATGACTTTAAAGTTATTTTGTGTCTACAATTAAAAGCCAGTCTAAATTAGGTATGACATAGTAGTTTCAGCAGCTTTAAGGGGAAAGGGCTAACAGAATCTTTGTGAACACTCTTGGAACTGAGAAAAGACCAAAAGGAAGAGCTCTGACTCTGGAAGTTGATAGCAAACCTTAGGAATATTTTGCTGGGTTCTGCAATGGGAAATGTGTGAATAGGAGTCTTTTAGATCTAGAGAAATTAGCCAATTGCCTGGTTGAATGTGAGTTGCGGACTTTGTTTCCATATGAAACTTCTTTAGAAGAAAACTTGACTGTTTTGAGATCTAGAATGGGTCTGTAAGAACCATCTGGCTTTGGAACCAAAAAGAGCCTTTAACAAATGCCCAGAAATCTTTTAGTTGCACCCTTTCTATTACATTCTTTTGAAGAAACTTTGATACGTCTCCCATTAGAGCCTTTTCTGTCTGTTCAGTGGACTGAAGAGCATAAAAACTTTTGGGATCTCTGATAGATCCAGATAGTAACCATTCCTAATCACTGAAAGAATCCAGCTATCCGAGGTAGTTTTCTGCCAGCAATCCAGAAAGTGAGAGTCTTCCTCCAACAGGAATGGCGTCATAAGTTTCTATTCCTTTTGTCAGATAACTTCTCTTCTCCTGTAAACACACACCTTCCTTTATTGACCCCTGTAAAGCGTTTATACAAAAGGAGCCTCTATAAGCGGATTGAACTCTAAAAAAATGTTTTGTTCCAATTCTGCTTCCTGTTTTCTTCAGGTAAAGCCTTCTTACCATGCTTAGTTTCAAAAGATCATCTAGTTTAGAACCAAAATGTCTGCCTGGTTCAAATAGAAGGTTACAAAGAATTTTTGGATGCTGAATCAGCCAACCAGTTTCTTAACCATACTGCTCTTCTTGCCACCGTAGACAAACCCATAGTCTTAGCCGAGATCTTCAGACTTTTTGAAGAGGAATCATCTAGAAAGATGCCATCTTGATATTTTGTAACAACTTGACTGGATCTTCTTTGGAGTCACCCGCATAAATCTTTTCTAATTCTTCCAGCCAATGTTTCTGTGCCTTTGCCACTGAAGTACCTGCAATCAGTGCTTTGGATTGAGATTCTGAGGAGACAGTTTCTTTAAGGAAGAATAGATACGTTTTTCCATGGCATCTTTTAAGCCACTCGAATCCCATTTAGGTAAAAGTGGTCTTTCCCAGCTGAGCTATAGGGACGTCCGCTGATGATAAAGGATCTAAGAGGCACTTGGGATCCTCACTGATAGCAAAGGGAGCTTTAAAGTGTTTAGAAATAAAAGGCTTTCCTCCTGGGAATTTCCATTCCCTTAGAATCAAATCATTTAACCAGATGAAAAGGAAAAACCTTGGATTTCTTTCCTTTGCTCCTGAACTGTTCTTTATCACCCATCAGGCACTGGTATCCTTTACCAATTTTCCAATAGATTCCTCTGGAAAGGAAAATTCATCAGAAGAATCACTAGAATCCTCATCTCTTGATTCTGACAAACAGTTTACGTCAGAAAATTCCCAGGATCTAGGCCTTTTCTTAGCCGTATTTATTACTGGAGAATCCTGGGAAGCAGAGGCCTGAGCAGACTGAACAGCTCCAGTCTGCATTTCAACAAATGTTTGTTGCAGACTTTGCTGGAACCAACTTAGGAAAGTAGTCATTTCCAATTTCTTTGCATCCTCAGAAGCATCTATTACAAATGGAACAGATTTTGCGCAGTTTAAGTGTTAGAGTTCACAGACCATTTCCTCCTCTCTGAAGCGCTCTCCGCAGTCTCAGGATTAGACATACTGAAGAGAAAGAAAAAGCTGAACAAAATATATAAAAAGTTACAATTCAGGCTAGACTCACTTAAGGAAAAAGCAAAAAGTCCCTTTAAAAGTTGTTTATAGAAATTATTTAGGTGAAAAATGTATTCTGCCATAGTTAGGCAATGCAAGTATTTGAAAACCAAAATGTAAGTAGACAGTGTTCAAGAACTCTTCTAGACACACAGCACATTTAAAATGATTTTTATTTAAACACAAATTACAATATAACCATCATTTGAAACAAAAATACAGTACACATGTAATTAGAAAGGCTTCCACAGGAAGAGTGTTCATGACAGTGATCTTGAATTCAAGTAAAAGTGCAGTAATAAGCATGAGGATATCTGAAGTCCTCTTCTATTTCACTAGAACATTTTTGCAGATTCATAAAGCTATTTGCACATTAAACTGGGTTAAAAGTCCTAAGTGGGTTCTAGTAAGGTCAGTATTCATTGGAAAGGTCGCTCTTTAGATTCCCGTTACACACTGGCATCTGTGTCTTCAACAACTTTGAACACCCCATGCTTGGCTTTTTGAGCTAGAACATTGGCTTTCATTTGTGCTGAAAGTAAGGAAAAAAAAAAAAAAAAATTATTCCACATGATGTATGAGAGGGCAGACATTGTTTGAACAAACAACTAAGACAAGTCCCCTTGCGAAGAGTAGGTAGAAACTGGGAGTGTGTTTAATACAGACTGCATTTAATCTACACAAGATGAATTTGAAATCAGTTACTGTATGAATCTTAAGTTACATGTGGACTCAATCAAATCAATTTACAGTTTCTCCATAACGATTGCTAGATTACAGAATTCATAAGAGCCTATTTCTGTAAACCATAGTCCATTTGTTAAAAAAAATAAAATAAAGGATCAGATCTCCACAACACAGTGGTTCTACATAATAAGCACACAGAACCAGGGGCGTAGCTAGAGCATTTGGCACCTGGGGCGGACCCTGAGTGTGCCCCGCCCCCCCAAATAATAAAAATTTAAGAAAACACCCAAAAAAAATTCAATGTTTTATAGTATTTATTTCAAAAATTTGTAAACTGCACATCAACTTGAAAAAAAATTGAACTATGAAAAATTAACTTAGAAATAAATAAAATTTAAATAATTAACATTTACTTAACAGTTAATACGCTTTCTATAAACAAAAAAAACAAAAACAAAAAAAAACAGATCCAAAGTGACCAGTCTATTCGGCAGAGGTAATGTGCAATGATTCACATCCGCTGCCTTCGAGCCTTCATTTCTGCAAATTTATCGATTACTTCATCAAAGCCAATCTTCCTTGCATATTCATGCTCAATTGAAAGTATAGCCAGATTTGTCAACCTTGTCTCACTCATGGTTGAGCGAAAGAAATTTATCAATTTTAATTTGGAAAAACTTCTTTCACATGAAGCAATAGACACAGAGAGTCAAAAAGAATCTTAAACACAGAGACAAATTTGGCAGAGATTCACAATAATCCCATTTAACAATGAACTCCAGGAACTGCAATGCCGTCCATTTCTTTGCTTCTTCAACACTGATCTTGGCAGCTTCCAAATGCCTCCGAAGACGTTCAATTTCCCTAAAGAGGTCTTCATTAGAGAATTCGTCAAAAATCTCAGTCAACTTTGGAGTATAATTATGAATATCTTTCTCTGTTGCCACAACCAAACATTGAAAGGATTTTTTCCATTGCCTGAGAACGAATTTCCAACTCGTGATGAAAACGATCAAGGCACTCAAACATAGCCCTTTTCGTTCCCTCTGGCAATGTGAGACCAGCGTCCTTTGCCTTCTCTCCTGGCATTGTTTTACGGAGCTTTACTCTCCCTCTTTCCATTGAAATGTCCATTTCTTTACACGTAGTAGTTGCATAACAAATGGCCTTCTCCACAATTTCACTGCACTGATCTGCTAGAAACGCTTTCAAACCTTGTAGTTTCACAATGCACTTTTCAAGAGTGAGTCCCACAGTTTGCAAATATTTCTGTGTTATATTAACTTCTTCTAGAACTTCACACCAGAAAGAAAGGTAACACAAAAAAGAAAAATCACATATGGCAGACAGCAACATCTGAGCCGATCCTCTTGTGTCCACATTTTCTTTGGGATTACATAATTTTTCAAGGGCTGAAGTAAGTTTTTCAAAATTTGCCCTCACTGGCTTCACAGCATCATAATGAGCGCTCCATCTGGTTTGGGAAAGTCTTTTCACTGTCACACCTACATTTTCCATCAGCAATTCCAAACGATGTGTAGACACTGAAAAAAAGGAATACACTCTCTCCAATGTTCCAAAAAAGGTCACACAGGAAACAACACTTCCAAATGAGTGCAACGCACATAGGTTCAGGGAATGGTTAGCACATGGCATAAACAAAGCCTTGGGATTAATCTCTTATTTTTGCCTGAACACCACCATGAATCCCTGCCATAGTTGCAGCATTATCATATCCTTGACCACGGCAAAGGCTTATGTCTAGTCCATCTTCCTCCAGATGTTGCAGGATATTTTCTTCGAGCTCAGCAGCAGTCTTTTCAGCAACAGGAAAGAAGCCCAAGAATGATTCCTTTACTTCAACATGGTCCCCTTCAATATGAACATATCTGATCACTTCACACATCTGATCAGTGTGGGACACATCAGGGGTGCTGTCAAAAAGAATCCCAGAGTACTTTGCTTTCTTGATATCAGCCACTATTTTGTCCTTCACATGATTTCCCAAAAGACAAATTAATTCGTTCTGAATTTTTGGAGAGAAATAGGAAGACATTGTCTTTCCAGATGCAACAGCATGTTTCAGCCTCATGAAATGTTCCTTTAAAATGGGATCATAGTTTGAGAGCAATTCTACCAATTCGAGGAAGTTGCCTTTGGTTGCGGATGACATGGTCTCTCTAGGACCACGAAAGGGAAGATTCTGGTGAGCCAGAAACAAAGTTACATCCAAAAGGCGATGCAAAATATCCCTCCATTTCCTTTTCTCTCTGTCCACTGTTGTTTGATGGACATGATCAATGCATTTTTGTAGCTTCAATCCTGCTCTCAAGGTCTTCCATTTCTCCAAGCATGTAAGATGCTGCTCAGAAGCCTCATGATCAGACACCTTTGGGTTCAGCTTCCACCACAATTGAAACCCAGTAACAAAACTGGATGCCCCTGTTACTTTGTCATCAACAGCAAAAAGTCTGCAGCAAAAACAAAACAAACTTTGTTTTGATGGAGAGTACACCATCCACGTTCTAAGAATTTTTTCGCCATTAGGCAGAGCCTTATAGAACCATGCAGTGGTCAACTGTCGACTCTTCCCTTTTGATTTCTCTCCTTGCCTTTCAACAGGACTGAATGGCATCTCTATTTTGGAAAGGTTCACTTCCCCTCTTAATAAGGTCCACTCTTAAAACATCTGGAACTGGAACTGGCCAAGCAGCAACATCAGAATAAACTGACAGTCGAACAGTCTCCTCTTCTTCTTCATCATCATCATCAGAGTCTTGCTGATGCAGGCTTCTGCTGGCATCGCCTTCATCTACATCACTTTCACCGCTTGAAGATAAAATGATCTTCTCCAATTCTTGCGCTTTCACATATGAAGCTTCTTGAGAAGATACTTCAGGCATTTCACCTCTGGATTCAACAGACTGAATGTCTTCAGCACTTTCTCCTACTGCGGTAGATGTTGAAGGTGCAACATATTTTAAAATTGATCCAGACATCGCCTCAGCTGACTTTTCTTTTGCCTTCTTAATTTTTTGTTGCTGAGACCCGCTTGGTCGATTTCGCTTCATATTGGTGTTTTCTGCAGAAAAATACTAAATTTATTTTGGCTCTAGGGTTCGCTAGTGCGATATCTGTCTTATATTTCCCATCTTGGCATACCATTTGTAAAAGTAGACAACCCAGGGTATTTAAAGGGACACTATAGTCACCCAGACCACTTCAGCTCAATGAAGTGGTCTGGGTGCCAGCTCCCCCAGATTTTAACCCTCCAGATGCAAAAATCGCATCCAGCTTGCAGAACGTCCATAGGAAGGCATTGAGAAAGGCCACTCGGGAGCTGATGTCGGCGGGGGAGGAGAGTTCACCAGCGCCGAGGGAGCCCGGCACTGGATTAAGATAAATGGCTGAAGGGGTTTTAACCCCTTTAAACCCATTCAGCCACTTACCTTTCTCCAGCGTCGGGCTCCCTCGGCGCTGGTGACCTCTCCTCCCCCTGCCGACGGCAGATCCGAATGCACATGCGCGGCAAGAGCCGTGTGCGCATTCAAACTGCCCTTAGGAAAGCATTACTCAGTGCTTTCCTATGGACGTCCAGCGTCTTCTCACAGTGAGTTTTCAGTGAGAATTGCGGAAGCGCCTCTAGCGGCTGTCAGTGAGACAGCCACTAGAGGCTGGATTAACCCTCAGTGAAACATCTCTGAAACTGCTATGTTTTCAGCTGCAGGGTTAAAACTAGAGGGACCTGGCACTCAGACTACTTCATTGAGCCGATCCTTAGAAACAGCATAGGAAAAGGATTTGGGTTCAAAAGATGTAGCAGCTAGGGCAGAGGTTTTGTAGAAGGGGGCCAGGGCAGAAGTTTTGTATAAATGTGCCAGTTTTGTAGAAGGGGGAAGACCAGTGCTTTTGTAGAAAGGGGCAGGTGAGAAACTTCTAGAAAACTCCTGCTCTGCACCTTTCTACAAAGCCCCTTGTCTCGCCCATTCTAGAAAACCCCCTTCCCCTTCATATAAAAACCCTGCACACTGATCACATAAATTTCATACACTCCCTACACATAAAACACCTGCACACCCCTTAATTAAAAAACAAAAACACTGCACATCCCCCTTAATAAAAAAAATAAAAATAAACAAACTTGCACAACCCCTTTAACAAAAAACCTGCACACCCCCCTTAAAATCCTGCACACCCCATTAACAAAACTCTGCAGTGCACATCCTCCCTTAATACAATACTGCAACCCCATTAATTAAAAAAAAAACCTGCACCCCCATTAAACCTACCCCCTTAAATAAACCTCCCTGCGCTGCACCCCCTTAATTAATCCACACCCACACTAATTAATCCACCCCCCTTAATTCTTTAATTATACACCCCCCTTTTAAATTAATTTAGCCCCATCACATAAATTACTACTCACGTTTTGATGATGCCTTCCCTCCGAGACCGACCACTGGATCCTTGCGCTGAAGATCCGTGAAGGCGGACTGACAGCAGCGCTGCGTACGATTGGGGCCGGGAGGGTGACAAATGACACTGGAAGTCATGACACCCCCCCCAGTCAGTGGCACCCAGGGCGGGCAACTGGCTGCCCCCCCTTAGTACACCACTGCACAGAACTATATTTGTAGTTTATCTGTAAGGAACTAGAAAGTGCATGTATGTTCAAAGAGCCATAAGTTAACTCACCAACAAGGTCACTTCTGTCCAGTAGCAGTTCCAAGTCTTTGTCGCTAATCACTTTCTCAGTTGATCCTTTAACTTCCCTGATAGGAGGAAAATTTTGAAAATATGACCTCAGTTGGGCAGAAAAAAAGCAGGCCCATTATTACACAAAACCACAGCACCCGCAATTGTATAAATGTTGGAAAAAATTTACATCACGGTTTACCTACCTCTCATAATCGCGAGATTCCAGCAACTCCATCAGTTCTTTGGGATCTAAGCAGCTCTTTGACTGGTTCATCCCAGTTTGTCCACCTTTGAATTTGTCTAATGGAAAGAAAATGGTTTTATTTCCAAAATTGGATTGGAGGGGGAAGAGAGAATGAAGCCAAAAACAAAACCAAACCTATGGCACTATAGATTATGTGACCACTCATGCACATTAAAGTATCATTACACAAAACTAATGCATAAGTTTGCAGCTTACTTCTTTCAAAATGTGAGATTTTGTGAATATACTTAACCTTAGAAGTTATGAATGCACAAGACTTTTAAACACTATGTTCAACCAGATGGATGGTAGCATTGGAAGGTTACCAACATTATTCATTCTAGCTGCATTCTAAAACCTTTAAAAAGATTAAGATATAAATTGCTGACCGTCTATTCAGAACTCCTGATAATGACAGACTGGTGAGTATGCAATAAAAAAAAAAAAGAAAAAGAAAGGGGCAATTGTACATAAATTAAAATCTTAAATATGGCTTAGGTACATCATGAATACACAATCCTGAACGCCTCAAATGTCCCCTGAAAGGGAACCTGTGAGAAGGTTACTAGAATAGTACATATTCTTTGTGCAAACATGGCTTATGAAGTACTATAAAACAAC